CGGATTAACGATGCAAGAAACGTCACATACCTAGTGCCAGAGGATACGCCATGGTTTGTGAGATTAAGGTGAAAAACTCTGGAATATGGGATGACCTAAGTCTTTCATGGCTGAACCCGTGCCAGTTCCCCACAACCAAAATGGGTGCGGCCTCTCATGACCGCCATAGAAGAGCGCCATCGGCGCCCCAAGTTGGCCTCTGAAGCGGCGCCTGCACTTGCCGATCTGAAAAGACGAGTGCGTCCAGTGCCTGCTGCCTGGATCCATCCCTGAATGACCTATGTACTGCTCAAATCAAATCATGCATTGCCTTTAATCAAAATGAAGTAGGCTAAATCTGGTAATAACAATGTATCATAAATATATAGTAATTATATATATATATATATATATATATATATATATATATATATTATCAATTACATCAAATCCAGCATTTACGGCATTGGCGATTTGTTCAAGACTTCGTGTGGTGTGCTTCTCGTTTTCGGTGTGTCGATATAGAAAATCACCAAACTGCATCCAATTTGTAATTCTTCGACCAGTTCGATGGTCATTTTGAAGAACATTATTGCATTCTAGACATGCGGTAACACACATTACATATATACCAGTTCTGTTTGCATCGTATTCCTACGAAGCACACGCTCCAGGCACTTGAAATCATAATGTTTCCAAGGTGCATGATCTCCTTCAGTGTACACTTCTGCAGGCTGGAGTTTGTAGATTTAACACCATGTAAATTTAAAAGGTTACTGTTTCGGTGACGGCATTACGGGGAGGGCGGGGGGGGGGGGGGGGGAGGGAGGGGGCGCGGGTTATCTTGCTAATCGTGTGCCGTACATTGTCAGTTACGTAAGTCGTCTGTTGTGTATGTTGATGGGCACCATGTCTCTGATGTTTGTGTTTGTTTCATGTTTCATTTCATTTCATTCAATGTTTCATGCGTGGTGAGGCGCCTGTGGTGTGGTATGCGCTAGTACAGTGTTGTTGATGACTAACGTGTTCCTGGTGGCGGGTGTCGTGGTGTGTACGCGCACGTGTTTTCGGTCCCCCTCCCTTAAGCGGGTTTCACAGTCCCCGTCGGTGTACTAAAAATAGGAAACTGCATTGGTCAGTTTCATCTTTCGGTTGGTTGAGGTTGTTTCTCATAATGAGAGAAAACGTTTTTGAACTTTTGTAACATATTATAAATCTTAGTTTTTCAGTTGATCATTGGGGGCGCAGCGTTTGCGAACAATGTCACGCAATACGTAATCATCGGTTTTCCAAAATGTTGTCATTCTCATGACGTTCCTGAGAGGCATTAGTTCTTTTGTCTTTTTTTCAGATAGTCATCGAGTAAGGACTTCGTAGCATTGTCTGAGTTACTATTTATGGATCCGCTTCTGGTAACCATTTGGCGCAGCCGGTTTAGCTCCCTATCGAAAGCATTCCGTGAATAATTTTTTTTGAAACCCCTGCGGATATAAGCCCGGGTGACCCATTTCCTGTGTTTATCTGGGCAGCCACCATTACCACCCCTGCATTCACCCTGGTTGGTGACTTTTCTGTAAACATTATCTGAAATTTACTATGTGATCAGTCGATCAGGAGGTCTAGAAATGGCAGTTTGTTTTTCACAATAAGGTCGGGCGTGAAATGCACCTGCCCGTCTACAAATATGCTTATGCGTATGTGGGGCTCCCAGTGGGGAGCCCATTGCAACTCCATCTGCATGGGCGTATAGGTTGCCTTCAGGGCATCTGAACGGAGCCTCTGATGTGCCCGTTCGAATCCTCACGCAACTACTACTGTACGACATACGACTAGTAAAGCAGCGCCCCCCCCCCCCCCCCCCCCGCTCACTCCCGTAATGTGAAGCCACCGGACCAGCAACCTTTTAACTTGTTGTAACTTTTTGTAGTGAAAATGCAACAAGTTTTGGTGGCATGGAAGTACCTTGAATCAGATCATGCAGCATGCAATTCTCATTCTTTCAAATGGCTCGAACGTGTGTGTCGTAGGAATGTGATGCAAGTCGAACTGTTATATGTGTACTGTGTATGAGTGGGTGTTTAAAGTGTAATAATCGTCTTGAAAATTATCATGGAACTCATCAAAATGTTCAGAAATGGATGACCTTCGGTGATATTTTAAATGGACACACTGGAAACGAAAAACACACCATACGAAGTCTCGAACATGCCTAAGGTCATAAAAGGCCTGACTGTTGGGATATACAACCAGCAGTGCGTACGAGAAAACCTCGCCCACCAAAACAATGATCTCTTGAAATTCCCTCAATATTCGCTCAATATTCCCTCTTTTATTCATATGCCTCCGAGAACCCTCTATATTAAACGCGAAACAGGTGTGTCGTTTCCTATCGCGCGAAATGTTTGCCTTTGAAACTGCCCACTTTCAACGCCAAATATTATTGGTCCGTCTGAAGTGCAGGTATGACTGAAACGTACCTTTTACAGGTGCCGTTTCGGGAGAATTCACTGACAAACAGAAGGGAATTATGAGGCACTACCACCGTCTCCTGAAGAAGGAGCAGCGACAGGCGGGGGGCAAGGCAGGCGGCGCGGAAACGACACAGATCAATCGCAGGTGAGTTGGACCGGAACCTCGACGTCTAAGGAGCGTTAGCCAGTGATTCAGCTGAGTGTAGTCCGGTGTCTCACTGTCCCGGTACGACTTACGACACCTGCCACGCCACCTGGTGTGCGCCACGCGGGGACCCGAGTCAGCGGAATCCTCCGCGAGGGCGGTGGCGCCGCCAGTGCGCTCGTGTCTCAGCTCTCTTTTCAAGAGCGGTCGCACGTTCTACGTTTGTGGACGGGGCGGTGTACCAGGCATACCAGTGGGAACTGCACAGTGGTCTGGCTCGTTCTCTCTCATTCTCCTTTCAAAGATGGCCCCTGTAGCATGAGATGCGGTACGGACACGTGGCCAGATACGCCCATTGCTCTCAGAGTCCTCGTTCACGGTTCTCGATTTCATGCCGCCTGGTGCCGAGTTCATAAGCCGGTGACTATTATCACTATTAGCTGACAGCTAGATCGGAGTAAATAACTGAACCGGCGGTGCCTGTGTTCAAGCTGCGTTTGCACGGTCAGTGTCATTGCGCTCAGCTTTCTCCTGGGAGGTGTCATTTTCATCTTGCAATAGAGTGCTAATCTCCACTAAAACGCAACACGAAAAGTGAATTTGACGTCTACGTTGTCAAGCAGGCGGTGGTGTCATTTTGTGAACCCCGGCTGTGTTCGTCCCGGGCAGCCGATCTTTCCGAATATTTCTTTGTTCTTGAGCTGAATGCCTTCACGTGAAGACATTCAGCTTCACGTGAAAGTACATGAGCTGATGCCCTCATGTCTTCTTAGCTGCGTTGTTTTACAGATTGTCAACTATAAGGCGTAATGTGATTGTTAACTACTTGTGTGCTAAGTTTATTCGGCTGTTACGCGGAAGACATCTAACCAAGCACATTGACTTTTCAGCATTGCGGAAAACAAGAAGCGGATGAAGATGACCGCATATCAGAGGGCGCAAATGATCTACGAAGCGAAAGAGGAAGAAAGGAGAAAACAGAGGGAAGAAGAAGAGCGACAGGAGAAGGAGCGGCAGACTGCTTTGAAGAAGTACCGGAAAAAGAAATTCGCGAGACTTCAGAAACTGACGCAGAAGACGAGCAAAGGCCAGCCAGTCATGAAGGGGCGAATCGAGGTCCTGCTTGAGAAAATCCAGGAAAACCTGTCCAAAGAGGACGGTTAATATATGTTGCCTCAGAGTGTCTTTTTGCCCCGCAGGCCTGCGATTGAGCGCTTGCCCAGTTCTGCTGGATCGCGCATGACCGCCCTTCCGCGTCACATGTCCGTGGGATGGCCGATACCCGACGATGCAGGGTCAGATGGACCGCATGCAGCAATGGCACGCGCTCGCTCAGGACGGCTCAGCGACTGAGGTGACAGCGTGTGCGGTGAAGCCAACACAGTTAGGAACAACTCTGATTAGCGCTGCAACTGGGAGCCGAAGGTAGCGTGCAATGTGGGGGTCTATTTGCCGTGTAAGGTGGCCAACCGACCCCCCCCCCCCCCCAACGCGCCCACGCCCACAGTTATTACCCGGTCGTAATAAGCGGAGTACTCACTCGCTGAATGTGTCGTTTCCGGCACCCCACACTTGATTCGTGACCGATGCACTGGGCATCGGACTCACGCTTGCTGAGGGTAGGCCCCAGTCATGCCGCGGCCCTCGTTTCTGACACGGGCCCGCCCGATGTACGTCTCTTATGACGTCATTACGCTACCGAATCTCAGTAAATGAATACGAATTTAGTTTAATTGCACTGCATCAACGACAAATTCTAAGATTATTTAGCACAGTGCTTAGAATTTTAAGAAACGACCATGTTTTTTAACTACGTTGTCCGCCCAGAAACCCGCTCGCCGCCCGCATCGGAGTTTTTTTTTTGTCCTGAAGGGATCCACGATATCGGAAGAGGCAATTGGGAACTCCCTTGTACAGAAACGTGGCTCGCTGTTACATCTACTGTGCACTAAGTGTATTCTCCTGCATTGTAATTTCCAATATCGTACCTTCGTCTTAACCGTTTGCCGGAAACGTTTGGGTTCTCCGAAAACCCGCTGGATGCTTATGCGGATTTCGAGAACAGTTCTCACTTTATCTTTGGGCTCGCGGGTGGCCCGGCGGGCGTCTGCGTGCGTCGTTCAGACGTTCTGGATGGTTGACCGGCGTGCCGTTCAGAGTGGTAGGTAGCTCATATGTAGAATAGAGGTAGCAGGAAACGTTTCTTCTTCCGGCAATAGCCTCTCTCAAGAGGGCAGCACTGTAGGGGGGTCTTAACCGCAGCGTGTGCCGCTCCTGGTGCTCTTTGAAGAGACGGCTGATCCTATACTACCTACCGGTCAAAATACATCATTTTTTTTTCATTTTTTGGTCTACAAACCAAGCATCGTTTCCCAGAGTTGCGTGGCCCAGTTTTGAAAGTCTTAATAACAGAATCACACAAATAACAGAATCCTGCGAGTGTAACAAACATATTTCTGATGATCACACACGCAGATGCATAACATAGGTGGTCGCAGAGACACAAGCGCTTCTCATGCTAGATGACGTAAAGTTTGTTCACAAACTGGCGGAGTGCAGCAGGCTGATCATGAATGGTACAAAGTGAAGGAAACTAAAAAATTGAGCCCACTACAGATGCATATAAAAATCGCTTTCATAGTGATTTTCACAACTTACAGGGCAACAGGGTGTGTCCCCCTGAATACGCCTCTGCAGGTGAACTAGGCGCAGGGCGGCGAACTGTGGCTTTACAGCTAGCGCTATATTTGCGACACACACAACAGTACTCTCGCACAACCCATGACGTGAAACGAATAACATCAAACTGGTTACAAAACGTGATTTGGTATAAAAATACTGTCGGCCCACGCTGCAGGACAAAAAAGGCATTCTCTCGACAGCACAAACGTTTATCTTGACTACCAAATAACTTCCATTCGCTTCAACACAACAATAATAAAAAGCATTGCAACGAAATGTATCTCATCATGTAACATATGTACATCCACCACACCGGCGGAGATCGTCCAGACACCACGAGTCATCTGCGGTCGTTGGCGGGGGTAGGCTGCGGCGCCAGCGTGCGGCAGCTCCGACCACAAATGATCACCAGTTAAAACTGTCTACCCTGTCACGGTGTGCGTGCCGCACGTGCGCGTTCCTCCGAGCAAGCTCTTGGCCGCCCGGGAGCGAGGGGCGCACGTCTTTCCATGCCGGCCCTATCGCCCCGGTTCGCCTCTCGTCACATGGTTACAACACAACTAACAGAAGCCGGCAGCGGCGGCGGCGGCGGCGGCGGCGGCTGGGCGGCTACCGCAGCGGCCGCACCGGTCCCAGGTTAAAGAAGGCCACGGGCCGCGGGCTGGGCCCCGTCTTGCCCAGTCCTTGCAGGCTGATGATGGGCAGCCCCAGCTGGCCCTGGCGCTGGTTAACCTGCGACACCGGCAGGAAGCCGCGCACGCCCAGCCCCTCCAGCTGCTCGCGGCTGACCTGGCTGAGGTCAAACACGGGCACCACCAGCTCGGAGACGCCGCGCGCCGGCGCCGGCGGCGGCAGCGCGGAGCCATGCCGCGTCTGCATGTGCTGCTGCAGCAGCGCCAGGTTCTGCATGACGATGCCGCACACGCGGCAGCGCAGGTTCTGGCTGGGCCCGCCCAGGTGCGCCTTCTCGTGCTGCGCCAGCGCCGCGGCGCTCGGCAGCACGCGCTCGCAGTAGCGGCAGGCGAGCGGGCCGCGCGGCGCCGGCGTGTCCGACGTCAGGTCGACGGTCGGCGGCCGCGACGGTCGCGACGCGCTGGTCAGCTGCACGCCCGGCGGCCGCGGCACGGCGAAGCCGTCGCCGCCCGAGCTCGACGCCGGCGTCAGCGAGATGCCGGCCGGCAGGTTGGGCAGGGAGAGCGGCGGCTGCGGCGCGGCGCTGGGCGCCGCCGCCGCCGCCGCCGGCGTGATCGAGATGCCGCGGTTGGCTAGGATGGAGGCGACGTCGGCGCCGGGTGCCGAGGCGGCGCCGCCGCCCGCCTGCGCGCCCTGCACGCTCAGCGTGATGGAGTCGCTGAGACGGATGGTCGAGCCGCCGGCGCCGGACGCGTACGCGCTGCCCTCCACGTTCTGGATCACGGGCACGCCCTGCTGGCGCCGCTGCACGGCGATCACCTGGCAGTCAGACTTGTCCGGCTGGATGGGAATGCCGGGTCGCGGCCGCTTGCTCGGGTCGTGGCCGACCAGGCCCGGCATCGGCCGCTTCTGCGGGCTGATCACGGACACGCGGCCGCCGGCCGGCAGGGGCTGGCCCGGCCGCGGCATGGCGCCGGCGCCCATGCCCATGCCGCGGCCGCGCAGCCCGTTGGCCATCTGCAGCTGCGCCAAGCGGCCGGGGTCGAGCGGGGGTCGGCCGCGCCGGATGTGCGGAAACCGCTGGCTGCCGGCCAGCCCGGCCATCACCGGGCCCGGCTGGCCGCCCATGGGCCGCAGGCTGGTCATGTGGCCGGACATGTCACTGTTGGGCGGACGGCCGATCGCGCCCGTCTGCATCTTGCCGTGGAACGTGACGCTGTGCGCCTTCAAGTCGCTGACGGAGTTCGCCTTGAAGGGGCACATGCTGCACTGCAGCGAGCTCTGGTGCGTCAGCAGATGCTCCTGCAGCGAGCGCACGTCCGGCAGCGGCACGTTGCACACGAAGCACGAGACGGTGCCGCTCTGCGGCGGCGCACCCGGCCGCACGCCCTGCGTCAGCGGCGGCAGGCCGGCCGCCGCCGGCTGCAGCGCCGGCGGCGGCCGCGCGCCGTCCGGCCGCGGCTGCAGCGTCGGCGGCGGCTGCGGCTGCGGCGTCGGCGGCGCCTCGTGTCGAAAGCTGCGCTCGTCTGGGATGTTGGCCGCGATGGCAGCCATTCGGATGAGCGGCTGGCCGGCGGCCGCGTCGCCGCCGGCGTCGGCCGCCGCGTCCGGCGCCGGCTCGGCTCCGTCACCCTCGCCGTCTCCGGCGGCCGGCACCAGGTCCTGCAGGCTGGGCGCCACCAGGTCGGCGTCGCCGGCTGGGGTGCCCGGGTCGGAGGCCACCGAGCGCGGCGGCGCCGGGCTGCCCGCCGACGCGTCCACGTCGCTGGGCGGCGCCGGCGGCGCCGACGCCGTCAGCCGCTGCTGGCCGGCGGCCGGCGAGCCCACCGGCAGCAGGCGCGGCAGCGGCGGCGTGGCCGAGCTGCGCGCGCCGGCGCGGTTCAGCGAGTCGAGCAGGCGCAGCACGTCGTCCTGCTCCTCGCCCTCCGCCAGCACGTCGGCCGTCACGCCGTGGTCCTCCCCGTCGCCGCCTCCGTCGCCTCCGTCGCCTCCGTCGCCGTCGCCGCCGTCGCCGACGTCGTGTCGCGCCGTCTCCTCGGTCGGCTCGGCGTCGCTCGGTAGACCGCTGTCGGCCGGCTCATCGCCGTCCGACAGCTGCAGCTGCGCGTACTCTTCCGAATCGAACGCCTCGTCCGGCTCGTCCGCACCTTCGTCCGCGTACGGGTCGTCTAGCTCGGTCGCCCCACCGTCCTCGGCCGGCGGCGGCTCGTCCCGATCCTGCGAGCCGTCGCCGTGCCAGGCCGCCACCTCGCCGTCGTCCGCCTGCCCGGCGTCGCCGGCCGGCTCGGCCGGCTCGGCGGGCTCGGCGGGCTCGGCGGGCTCGGCGGGCTCGGCGGGCGCACCGCCGTCCGCCGCCGCCGAGTCGTCCGCATCCTGCCACTGCGAGCTCTCGGACGACGGGCGCTCGGCCACGCCCTCGTCCAGCGGCCCGGCCGACCAGCGCGAGTCCTCGTCGGCCGCCGACAGCTGGTCCTCGTTGATGGTCAGGCCGTTGGACTCGTCGCCGCTGTCGGTCAGCAGCCGGCGGGGGTCGACGGCCGGCGACGGTGGCGCCTCTGGCGGCCAGTCGGGCAGCTGGCCGGCCGGCTCGGTGTGCGTTGACGGTACGCTGGGCGGCGCCGCGGTCTCCGAGGAGTCCATGCCCGAGTCGGAGCCGGTCGAGGAGCAGCCGTCCGACGGGATCACCTGGCGGCGCCGGGGATGGCGTCAGCTTAGCGGCTTACGAGAGCGACATGGCACGCTGCGCTCCGTGCTGGAGTGCGGACAGCCCTGAAAACGACGATCCATTCCCTCCGCAGATAGCTCTCCAACCTGGCCTGTGCTTGCAGAGCACCACAGTAGCCAAAACACACGGCGTTCAGACAGAATCTCCCTCACTCACTGCCTAACACAGCCATCCGGAGCGTTTTCCGTCCTCCAATCCATCCCGCCGCGGCCCGCGACTGGGCCGCGACCGGGTCCCGGCGGCGGGCCCCGGTCGGGACTTCCCGTCCGAACGACCCGAGCCCGGTCGATGGCTCGCCAGCCCAATCCCAATAAAGTAAAGTTCTGGGGAGGCGCTGCAGCCGGCCGGGCGCGGGCTGCTGCGCCCTGGCCGCAGCACGGCCGCGCAGACTGGCTGCCCCAGCAGGCGGCGGCTGCACGGCGGGGCGGTGTAACGTGCGGCGAGCACGCAGAAGTCAGGCTCGCGTTCAGTGTGTGTCGTCAGCGATGCCTATCGTCTATGCCAGATTCGATCGTCTGATATATTTTATGCTCGGATGTTGATAATGAACGTGACAAGCGCACAATGATGTTACACAACCCGATGCGCCGCATGCGGCCACACACACATGCCACACCTGCGTCAATGTGGCAGTCGAAGCCACATCGCTCGGATGAAGTCGACCCGATTTATCAGCGCTCAGCGTACCATACACCCTTCCCTTGCCCACATGGCCCCAGTGCAGCAGCTGCAGCGTTGGGAGGGTATGAGAGCTGCTGTTGACAGGGCCCGTCCGTGGCTGGCGGTGCCTCCGTCTGGTCGCACGCCCGGTCCGGTCCGGTGTCGGACGGCGCCACCTCTGACCTTCCGCTGGCCCCTGACCCCCGGCACACCTCCTGACCTCGGCACCACCGGTGTGGGGTGCAGCCTCGTCCCCGTGCCGCTCACGGCCTTGGACCCGGGGAGGACGGCGGGTGGGGAGAGTTCAGCGGCCTGGCGGCCCATGACCACATGGACTCGCTCCAACACGAAGGGGATGCTCTTTGGGAGCTTGAGCTTGGGGAGGAGCTCGGAAGGGCTTCTCAATGTTTCATAGACCGATCATGCATCCGTGGCCACCATAGCGGGCATCGCCTTCGTCCACTCCGAGATACCAGACAACAAAAACGTAAAAGGGACTTTCGTGGGAATCATATCACGGGACACATACAGCACAGTAACACACGTCTGTTGTCAAAAAATAAAATAACACCGGCTAGCGTGAATGACACCAACAGACTTGCTAAAGATAATGACACACACAGTTGGTGCGCATTGCATGATACCGTTGCCAGCTGGAGGTCGGTCACCACGCCAAAGCCTTTGATGCTGGGTGCCAGAAGAAAGGTCAATCAGCAGCCCGCCGGCCCGTCAGCCCATACAGCAGGGCACTGTGACCTGGTACGGACACACTCCCCACAGGTCTGGTGCAGCCCTGATTGCTATCACGCTTTCAAGGCCGTCTCAATCCCATGGCAATTCTGACGATAATCCCGGACCCCACCGTGCGCCACCCTCGATCCCGGTCTGTCCCAATCCCAGCCCCTCACGACCCCACTCCGCCACAACCCAATCCGTCCCGATCGCCCCCGTTCATGCACCAGTCTAAATGCATCCCGTCGGGCACGACCACAGCCAGGCCTCAGAGGGGCTTAGCAGCAGCAGCTGGGCCGTTCCTGGCCGGTGTCCCAGCCGGCTTCCCTCCCCCTCCCCGCCAGCGGCCTCACCTCAGCAGCGGCGGGCGGGCCGTTCCTGGCCGGTGTCCCAGCCGGCTTCCCTCTCCCCCTCCCCCCCCCCCCCCCCCGTCAGCGGCCTCACCTCAGCAACGGCAGTCGGGCCGTTCCTGGCCGGTGTCCCAACCGGCTCCCCCTCCCCCCCCCCCCTCCCCGTCAGCGGCCTCACCTCAGCAGCGGCAGTCGGGACAGTCCTCGCCGCTGTCCCAGTCCCCCCCCCCCCCCTCATAAGCGGCCTCACCTCAGCAACGGCAGCTTGGTCATTCCTAGCCGGTGTACCAGCCCCTCCCCTCCCCTCCCCTCCCCCCCCCCCCCCCCGCCAGCGGCCTCACCTCGAACTGGTGCGGCAGGCCGTTCTGCTCCTGGCTGCTGCGGCGCAGGGTGAGTTTGAGGGCGGCGCCAGCCGCCGCACCGATTGGAGGACGCTCCAGAATGACCTGCGGCTCCGGCCGCCGCGCCAGATGGTGGTACAGGTGGTGGTCGTGGAAGTAGCTGAAGCTGGGGAAGCTGTCGATGCCGCACGCGGTGCAGCGCAGCCGGCGGTCAAACTGTGGGCAGAGGGAACGGAGCGTTGCCGGCGGAGAGAGCGGTGCAGTGCGGCGAGGCAGAGAGAGGACAGAGCACGAGCAGGCAGGCGGGGCCCTGAAGACGGACTGTGGACGTGAGGAAGATTTAGGTCCTCGACAACCCAGGGGCGCCGACAGCAGGGATAATGCGACAGCTACCTACATCCCTTTCCTGGAACGTGGTCCACGGCGCATTGCAAACGTCAGATATGATAATTCGTCCCGCCTCGTCTTGGTGATCGCCCATTATTGATGATAGCACGAACAAACTACCTGATGTTCACACCGACGCAATTCAATGCAACACCAGACTCATTCGGGAGATACTAACAGTGAGGTTTATAAATGACAGTAGCACATAATACACGCCAGACACGTCTGATCTGTTGGCCCATCGCCAACGACCCCATCGGACCCATGTTCGCAAATGTCATCTACGGAAGCCGACCAGGAGTGTGGTCAACAGGAGGGTCAAAGGGGTCGTGCCCTCCCCCCCCCTCGAGTCAAACGACAAGTATTAGATACTGGGTGATCGTGCAGAAATTCCGTCCAGAAAATGTTATATTTGCCTTCTCCTGAGAATGACTTCAGCTCCGTGCCGCAACGAAATAACCAGTTGTAAAAGTTGCAAACTCATTGTGAGCCTTACCGCAGTATTATTTTTAGACAGGATAAGTGGCATCAATGGCTTGCTTGAGAGCTGATAGCATCAGAATCCTCACTAAGCACATATGTTTTGTGCAAACTGCCCGTCATTCCCCCAACTCGTGCAAGCTATCGAATATTGTCGTCGCCGTCTGCCGACCGAGCCACATTGAGGAATGTATCATGTGATGCTGCACACATGCCTATCTGGTAAGCGTTCCAATTTCATATAGAACCATGAAATACGGCACAACGCAATCGTAGAAAGGCGACAACCGCATCACGTGATGACGATTTGCGTCGAGGCTCCATCCGTCTCCTCACTTCATTCGAAACGAATCCAGCTTGCTAACTGCTATAGTACTGGGCCATACCCCAGTCAAGTACTTCGTGCTGCTTGCCACCACTTAGGGTCAGCATTTGCAAACTGTCATCGCATGAACAATGGACTATGGTTCTCACATGTAACCAACGAAACATTGTATTACTTCCACGCTTTGAAGTGGACCAAAGATTGACATCTTTATCCAAATACTTCGGAGGAGAAAAGAATCGATCCTAAATCTTACCGGAGCAAGCCTTGCATGCCACACAATCTGACCAAAGCTCCAAAGCATCAGCTCGCAACAACAGTCTAAAATAAAACCTCTCCTGCAAAATGGTGAATGACTAAACAAAATTATCCAAAAGCTATCTTCTTAGCAACTTTACTTGTATGGCAGTACACGCCCCTCACATTTCGATACATCATATACCGCAAGGCAACTCTAAACTAGGTAACGCGCTCCGGGCAATTTTACACAGGGCAAGGTGTACCAAATGCGGCAGCTAGGTAAAATACAATCTTAAGAACAAAATGGTGTTCTTTAACATTGCACCACATCTAAGGTACTTTCAAAACAAACTAATTACATGAAATTTGCGGGTAACATCGGCTTTTTAAGACCCAAAAAAGTTGATGGCAACGGTTGGCTATGGGCATAGAAATTATGTCTATGGCGGCAATGGCCAAGAAATGGGAGCTTTAGGGCATATAATCTGGCGCATGGTAGACAAAACGTTACATGCCGTTTCCACGGCAACAGCGTTGCGTGCTTTCAAGGCAAGGCTATCTAACGAGGTAGAACCGTCCGGTCCGAAAAAGTGGCAACATCGAGCTTGCGTGAGAATAGAGGTAGTTTGGAAGCAAAGCCTGCATGACGTCAAGTATACCAAATTTGATGACGTCAGTAGTACGGAGGCCTCTCAGGTAGCCAGCTGACTGCTACGCAACCCATTAGTTCGAATGGCGACTATGTTTTGGTGGCGTGCGGCTGGCGGTTCCCCGTTGGACTGAGAAGAAATTATCCGTCATTTCGCTATTCACACACATTTCTGGAAAGAATAGTGAGTCCTGGAACAGTTTAGCCTTTTCAGAACGTACGATTTTTTCATGTATGATGATATAACACGGAGTTATATGTCATGCGGCGTTTGTGGTGTGTTGCATTCCATGACCAGGCTTGTCCAAGACTGGCTTGTCGTTAGATAGCATGCTTGTCTGTGCCGTTTGTGCCTGGTGGCAGAGTTGGACAGCTCAACTTGCATAATTTGCTCTGTCTATAGGTGTGATTATATGGGCATTTGCAATACTGATTTGTAATAGCTCCCACTCCCCTTATCACAGTGATGTGAGTACAGTTAGGTAAGTGCAGTAAAACCCTATGATATTGGCCTCATGATACTACAGTCAAGTGTGTTTTACTTCAGGGCTTGTACACATATGCATAATAAAATATTCACAGACCGAGCATTTTAAATGCTACCAATCGTTGAAGACAAACCACACAAGAGATCTCTCGTACGAGGCGTAGTCATGGCAACTGATCGCAACCCACTGATGTGAAGCGCCAAGCAACTGCGATACGCGATGCGCTACAAACGCCGCATGACGTTTAAACCCTAGTTACATGGTCAATACGGGACCTGATTATCAAATAGAATATTGGCAGTTTGCATCATGGCGGAATGTATTTGCAATCGCAAGTCACAATCTGAATATGAATGGATTGGGGTATATATCTAATCATCTATCTTGAATATCTGCATCATGTATGGCTAACAGCGTAATGGTGTGCATAATGTGCGGCAGCCTGTTAAGTCAATAATGTAGGCAGTTCAGAGTCTGATAGTGTGAGCAATGGTTGGTGGTATGCTATGTTGCCTAACGTTCTTCCACCAAAAACTACTTCCCCTTTTATTCATGTGTATCTCCAGTTGTAAGGTGTTTTACAGACTGAGTGCTTGGCTGGCCAGCTGTGGGCGCAAGGATTTACTGAATCAGTCAGAACTCAACATCAAAGCCGCCCCACCAACCCAGTCCAGTTCGGTCTACCGTTCTGCTGCAACAGCCGGCAGTGGCTTTGATGAGACGATCCCTGGAATTACCACAAGCGAGGGATTCGTCCATGTTCGTTTTGCATGGTCCAGAGTGCCGTGGAACGTTCCAGATATTTCTCAGGGTGGTGCTCAAATCATCGTTTAGGGAGCACTGCTTCTTTACTTGTTATTTCTTGTGACGAAAATTCCTGATCTGCCAATCAAGTCTTGCGGACTAAGTGCCTATCCACGCAAATGCATCAAAATGTGTGTTTTAGTATTCACTCGGCAAGCCAAGTGAAATCGGCTCCGGATTACAGTTCACTGTGGTGCGTTTACTGTGGTGTGTTTATGAGGGGCACAAAATGACTCCGCACTCGGCGGGGGAGGAACATTTGGACAGCCCAATGACATGAACGATCGCGAATATGGATTCACCCAACCCACTACGAAATTCCGGTATCCCTCAGACTTACGCCCAATTCAGTCAGATGAAAAACCACAAAAAGATAAAGCGAATAGGCTGCGGCATGCGACATGTGATGTGGCTAGAACGGAGTTAGAACAGCTGAGCGCAAGTAGGGAGTGAGGGAGGGGGGGGGGGGGGGGGCGGTATCTGATCATTGAGGAGAGTGAGCGCTGAGGAGCTTAGTAGTTTGAGTACGGAGAGATACTGAAAGCAGATGGAGTGTGGAGAGATACTGGAAGTAGATGGAGTGTGGAGAGATGCCCTTAGTACTCGGAGTACGAATAAAACCATTAAACACGTTACAGATTGTCAAAAATAAATTTTCGTCACCTAAGCGCAGCAGTCTTCCTAGTGTTCCTGGACTTAACAGCATATGCTAGAATAATTCATGTTCGTGGCTCTGGGCAATCATGGCTGCCTTCGTACGCCTTCACAAAAACAAAACTGCGATAGATGCGTCGAGCCCACTACCCCTGAATAAGATCCTAGAAAACGCATCCAGGACACAAAAATTATCATGTTTCGAGACCACTTCCATGAAACTTCAGGTTACAAAGAACAGACAGAGCTGTGAACAGCACTCCCTAACTTGTATAGCAGCCACGCCAATGTGCCGGCTGCAAGTCAGTCATAAAGCGCATGCTCGGAGAACGCTAACCAATTCACAGCAATGCATGACGACTGCTGCTGTAAATATGAAGAGATTAACGTAGCACGCATCGAAGCCCCAGGGCATGGATATTTCAACGGATTGTCATTAAATGAATTATGTGTTTTATGGACATTTTCATTGCAGGGTCTCATACCATTTGTTACCGAAGCAAGTCGGTCATATAGTCCTCACATCATATTGTTAGACGTGGGCTTGGATAACGACAACGTGATCTGAACATGAAGCGCCCTCTGGTAATGTGGAACAAAGAGTGCGGTGGAACTTTAGCCACGTCGCTACCCCTGATATCAGACAGGCTTTGATCTCAATTTTTTGTGTTGTGAGTTCAGAGTTCTCAAGAAGATAGCTATCGGCCCCCGATTTCAGTTTAACCAGGGAGCACTGGTTAAGCGACATTATCAAGCAAAGATGGTTATTATGTCAGTGCTCGACGTTTCGAGCTGCACCAATGATCACCACGTTGTACCATGACCACTGGTCATAAATATTCATCACAGCACCAAGGCCAAGACACCAACGAGACCAGACGGAACCAAGGCAATCGCACCACAGTTCCACAACATTGGCGCTATGGGCCTACCTACAACTAAGGGGCGCTTGGCTCGCGGGCGGGGCGACCGCGTACAAACCTTGGCCGGGGCGGGTTTCCTGCGTCTCTTGAGAGTCACGTGGTGCTGTTTGATGTGGTCGGAGAGCTGGGCCGAGGTGGCGCAGCGCACTGGGCAGCGGCGGCAGGCGACGGGGTGCGTCACCAAGTGACAGGTCATGTGCCGCACCAGGTCCTCGTGCAAGGCGAACCGCTCCTGGCACACGTTACACTCGCTGAAGAACGCGACCAGCACGGGCTCGCTCGGTCTCGGAGATGCTGCAAAGAGATGAGAGACTGGAGGTGACAGGTGACGAGGTCCTGCGTGGGTCCGCCTGTCGTCGAGACTGTCGCACGTCCGAAAGGCGAGACATGTGGTGCGGGGGTGAAGTCTCTCACTCGGCCGGGCTCGTCGCGTCCGTGGCGCACGCGTCATGGCGAGATGCGCCTACGAACGCCATGAGAGGCTACACTCTACCTCTAGGGGCCGTCCCAGCGCATCAGAAAGGTAGATCGCAAGTCCCCTGTCCGATGGTGATCACCCCGCGATAACGTAAATCTTGGGACTGACGTCCATGGGTGACGTGGAGGCAGCTTTGACGTTAGCATTGAACAATGACGTTGAGAAACGCAGGGCACAAAATTGATCAAGCGCTGAAGGATTAAGTCAGGCACAAAACTGGAGTAATCACAGTAACCCATGCGCCACAACTACACACTCCACACAACAAAGACATCGCATCGCGCGAATTGCGTAAAATGTCACAAGCCTCCGACACTTAGATCAAAGCGGTTCAAACAGCACAACAAAATGGCTCTACATAGAAATGTTCAAAGAATCTAACGGCTGAAAACCACCCAACAAACATAGATGTTCAAAACCATTCAACAAATTACCACGTCCGAAACCGTTACACAAATAAAACTGTCCTCTCAACGAATACGAATCGCTGACATCCAACGCAAAACAACACAATGAGCGTGTACACTGGGCCCAACTACACACAATAGAAGAAGGGGACCAAAAGTGAAATAAAAAAGAGCATTCCGCACATTTAAACAAAGACATAACGGAACATGTCCATGAGCAAGTCAACCCATTCGAAACGTATGAGCGCAAGGCAAGGAGTCATACGGCATTGCGCGCTCGAATGGCGAGATGACGTTTTAGGCATCGCTGACCACCATAAATTGGAGGCAAAAACCTCTGTTCAGCGGATGCAGACGCCACAAAGATTTCGCTTGGGGGGGGGGGGAGGCATTAGATGTGCCGGAGGTGGCCACCCCAATACAATCCTTACAATAGAATCGTTGCTGCCGTCAAGCCTGGCAACCCCACCACACTGGTAACTGCCATGTTTGCAGCAATTTTCGCTAAAACACTCGGGAGTAGGGATCAGTGGCCGTTGCCTGAAAAACCGCAAAGAACCTGAGCTCCACTGGTGCGCCTTTTATTAAGTCCGTTAGCACGGGTGGCTGCACCCGTTCCATGTTTCCGCCGCTTCATCCGCCTAGAAACTAAACAAAGGATGACTGGCCCTCTCGCCAAGGGATGGAAGGCCACCGCGCCAGATATGGGATTCCCTTCCAAATTCAGACCGTGCTCAGCAAATCCCAGCCCCAGCGCAAAACATCCCAAGTCCTACCCTATGCCCATGTAATATGCAGATGGTTCGTGCGATACGCTGTTATGATGTCCCAAAATCCAAACAAAGGTCACAAACTTTCCGCTCGCCACGGAAAAATAATACCCGTACATAGGTGAGGGTAAAAAAGCACCATAACAAAGTGACCATAACACCGGTTGTGTGGGCCTGTCTGAACCGTGTCTGTAATATGCAATCGAGTAATACCACAACAGCTAAGTGAATTTGCGAGGAACATTATACACACATAAGATAATGATGTTGGCCTAATCCCGCGTGAAATAACCAGGAGAGGGAGAGATAGACGCAGTAGTATTTCAGTTTCATGCTTTTATCCAGACGAATGTTGGTGTACTAATATTTTTTTAAAGTAATAACATCATACGTATTCGTTTTGATCAAAGCATGTAGCAGAAACATTAATGCATCTACATCTCCTTTCTCCCGGTTATTCGACGAGGAATTAGGGGTAACAGCATTGCCCTGTGAATACTACGATAGAAATGTGCGTGCGCACACACACACACACACACACACACACACACACACACACACACACAACACACACCACACACACAACACACACACACACACACACACACACACACACACACACACACACACACACACACACACACACACACACACACACACACACATGTATACAAACATCCTAACATATGGTCTAAAAACTTGAAACAAAAACTGCTAACATTGTAGTGATCTTAACAAAACAAGAATGCAAAATTATGCCCTACACGGATGTCATTTATCCCAAACAAGGACTTCACAACCATTCATGCCTGGCCCCCAGATGCCGTAACCCATGGCGAAGCATTCCCAGCTGGAGAATAACCAACAAAAACCCACGCCCATCTCGTGTTAACAGTCAACCTCCAGCGCAGGCCACCGAGCAGCAGACAGGCAGCCAGATGCAGCAAGACAACAAAAGCAGGCGCACCTGCCACCTAGAGCGGAACTCAACTCACGATATTAGGCGCCGCCAATCTGAAAGCAGCGAAACATTGCCATTTGTGATGGAACAACTGTAAGGCGCCGACATCCCTGCAGTCCGACGGGAACTGATATCGCGCTGATCATAACGTAGTGCTGCGCCCACAGGTGGATATTGTGACGGCGCCGAGGCCAGTGACCTCGGTACCACGCGTGACGGCGTCGGCTTCCGTCGCTGTTCAACCTCAGTGACGGAGGTGCACGCCGCAGAATTCGGCGGCGACGGGAGCCAAGAAAATTAACGGAACAAAGACAAGAGTAAAGATGGCGCGGGATGAACCACCACAGAATAGCGCGGAGAAACGCCGGGGACATGTCTGACATTCATCCATATTCGGCATCCACCGACCTCTCACACATGTTCTGTCCAACTGACACAAGCCTGTGCTCAATGACAATTTAGCGGTTAACACTTAAACATTCGGGTGTTGAGCGCTACGGACAGTCGACGGAGCGTAAACAGTCACACTATTTTGATCTCAACAGATGCGCGTTCATCCAGGAGGCCATGGGTGCAACCACGTCACTGACATTAAGGTGGACCTGAAAGACGTGCATTCTGCCAGCAAAAATTCCAGGGGATAGACTGCGTTTGATGAAAGTTATTGGATACATTCCCCGGACGCCTCTCCGCCCTTCGGTGTGCATCCTCATTCCAGTTGCTGCTGTGAATATCCGTTTTTTACTGGCGGCTACTTCGGTATCGCTCTCGAGCTCGCAGAAGTCTTCCAAGGACGCCATGTCGTTACGCTCACTCGCACCCCCCCCCCCCCCCCCCTCTCGACAATACTTATGATCATGCACGATCAAATACGTAGTTCCATGAACCTATCCAGATAACGGGGTTGTCACATGTGTGGGGTCACGTGTCCTCTCCGCCAGTCCGCTCACCCCGGACTCCACGCTCGAGGGTCGTCACGCTCATCGCGGTTTCTGGGTTTGATTTCAGTATTAAGGATACCCCGGAAAACACAGCGACAACCCAGTCCCTCCACAGACCTGAAGAACCCATGCATGTCGCAACGTGTCACTAAGCCAGACCGTAGCCATTTTCTCCTCTGGACTTGGGGCCAAACGTTAAATTTTGTTTCAGAACCAGATAACTTGGACGGAATTCCTGCGGAATGGCTCATGATCTAGTGTGACTGTAGTGACTCACAGTGGGGGCATGCCCCCCCCCCCCCGCCCACGGTTATGTTTCGACACTAAGCGTTGATATCTGCGTAGCTCGAAGCAAGAAGACAACTGCGTATTTCGAAACATACAGAAACCCAACAGCAGAGTATCAGCTACAATCGCAATCTGGTTTCACAAGCATGATCAGAATGTCAACTCGGACGAATACAACACCTCAGCTAACGCGTTCATTTCCCATGGCATGCCACATCACTATACACATCATTCATTCCACCTGTGGTGCGTTGGACTATGGACTGCGAAACTACGAACCGCCCCATCATTTATGAATGAGAAATGCACGTCCAATCCAGAGACTTCCTTATTTTAGCAAATGTCTCCTTTCATTAGCGGTAGTCATTACAACACTCGTCACAAGGCCCATGTTCCGGTCCATCTACCCAATGACTTGCGTTATAGTTGCGTTGTAAGGAACTTAACACTTGTCTCCCCAAACACAATACTGCCCATCCGAAATGCAGTCAAGTTTGGGTCCCCAAAAGCTACGCGCTGCCCTCGTTCTGTCAAACCCTCCCGAGTAAAGTGAGATATCGTCAATTTACCACTGGATTGGCGTCGCTCTCTCGCCCCCTTGTCACGAGGCCTACCGCGGACGTCCTGAGCGGACCGAGCCTCAACCGGAAACGATCGAAGTTTGCGGCGCTTGTGGTAGGAGGCTGACACTCGGTCATCTGCCCTTGACAGTGTCGAGCTGCGTAGTCTGTAGTTATTTCCCAGCACTTTCCATGAGTGTCGTCATGACGACAGTTCCGCCAGCGAGCCTCCACCCCTCACGCAAACTGGTAGAGAATGGTCGCATGAGTTGGTGCGGCAACGCTGCTAGAGAGAGCGAGCATCTTTCAACATTGAGCTGCCGAGAATGCGCATGCACTGGGAAGGTAAGAGAGGAAGGCTGGGTGTAACCATCGTCGTAACTGTAATACCGCATTATCCACCGCATAAATCAAATAATTTAAATGCCACATTATATGGCACTTGCTCGTCACTGAGTTATTCACCAAAAAAAGGATCTGGTCGACACGTGGTGTAGTTAATGACGACCACCACAGCCGCGCAGTTACGTTGGTCGTCTGCGGTTAATTTCAGCGCCAGCTTAGACAAACTTTAAAAAATCTAGAAGGCCGAAGAATTCAACCAACTGACCTTCAATCTGTTGACCTGTAAACCTCCCAGGTCCGTCCCTGATATTATCTTTACCGAGGTACGAAACTCATAAACAAGCAATATACCGAACCACGTAAAACTCACGAACCCCATAATCTTAAAAATTGCAATGTGTTTATACATCAGTGTGTTTATGTTGTGACCCAGCACATTCAGCATGTTCTGTCGATGGATTGGTGATCACAACACTAAGCCGCGAGGACTCGCAGAGGGCCGCAGCCCTGAATGTGATCGGCTCCGAAGAAACCACTGAACAAA